GCAATAAAAGATTTGAACTGCAAAATTAGCAGGCTTGAACTAGTACCCAAAGGAAGGAAGTTTTCATCATGAAAATGACGTTCTCTGGCGGAAATGAAAATAATTGATTGGCAGCAAAGATATTGTTAAAACACACAACACACACATATGTTTACATACATTGAGAACTAAAAAACAAATTACAATTAAATATTATTTCCTCACATTACATAGCATTCTTGTAGGGTGTCATCAGTCTAGGGAACATTTCCAGGAATAGAAAGTTATAGTCTTTCTTGAGTGTGTTTATTAAAAACAAAGAAGTATGGAAATAAATGTGTTCTTTCAACTTTAAAATAGCAGCATAAACAGAAATAACGTAGAAGAAAAAAACGAAAATAGAAATTGATGAGATACAAAACAATACAAAAACCAAAAAAGAGTTGGATCAAGAAATCTCAAAGCTAGTTTTTTTTGTTTTTGTTTTTTTTTAAAAAAAGAGACAGAAACAGACTTCTTTGTCAGCAAACAAGCCATATCAACTTCTTGCCTTATAAGCTTAGCATTCTAGTGGGGGAGTCAGACAAACTGATAATACTAAGCAGTAGTAATTACTATAAAGATAATGCAGGATAAAGGAGCTAGTGACAAGAAGTGTTACTTAAACATGGTCAGGGAGGGTCTGTGAGGAGATAGCGTTTGAACCAGGAGCCATATAAAGCAAGGGAGCAAGCCATGCGGGCGCTTTTGAAGGGTATTCCTGGCAGAGGGAACAGAAGAGCAAAAGCCCTGAAAATCATCTCAAACCTAGGACTAATGAAAATGTTTAGAATGATAAAGGGCATTTACCAAAAAACATGTCATCAGCATTCTTCTTACCTGATTACTTTGGCCAAAACCTCCAGTATAACAGTGAGGAGTAGCAGTGATAGCAGGTATTCTTGTTCCTTCCTACACTTTTTGCAATCAAGAATAAGTTAGAAAACCAATAGTTGTTTTACATATCATCAAAAACCGGTTAGAAAATGTGTAAGAAAAGACACGATTCACAATATCATCTATAATCTACCTAGAACTATGAAAAGATTTATTTATAGATAAAATTATAAGACATTTTGAAGTACAGACAAAAATGAATCCAAATTACAAGTCAACATGTCTGGTCTCCCCCAGTTCAAGCTATAACGTCAGTACAATCCAATATAAATCTAAGCAGGACTTTTATGGAACTGGAAAAACTGATTTAAAAATTCACTTCCAAGGGTAAATGTTCAAGAATGATCAAGACTATTCTGAAGAAGTCTAGGGAGAGAAAATACTCACACAATCAGGTGATTAGACCTAATTCTTAAAGCAGTTATAAATTCAAAGTGTGGCGTTGACTCAAGGATACACAAGTAGAATAATAATAAAATAGAGAAGAAAACCAAAAACAGATTCAAGCATTGATGGAAACGTGACATAAGAAAACGGGGAACAATTGGCTTGCCATATAGCGATAAAAGTATATATGTATATCATCATACCATACCCAAGAATAAATTTCAGTTAGAATAAAGATCAAAATCTGAAAAGCTAACTTCGAAACTTTTAGAATAAAATACAGAAAGTTTTTTATGGTCTGAGCTAGATAGAATTTCTTAAACAAGACAGAAAAAACACAAATCATTTAAAAGATGGATAAATTTGACTAAATCAAAAATTTAGTTTTAGTAAGACAAAAGATATTAATCTTTAAGATAAGTATGTGTAACAAAGGATTAGTATGCAGAACATATAAAGAACTACTACAATTTATAAGAAATAGTCAACTCCGGGTAAAAACAGGCAAAGGATACGAACGAACAGTTTACAGAGGAGCAAACCCACATGGCAAATAAACAGGTGAAAAGGTACCCAACAGTGCTAGTAATTGAGAAAGTGACAGTTTTTTAAAAACTGAAATACCATTCCATGTCCATTAGAATCACACATTGTGTGCATGGGTGCACGCGTGCGTGTGTGTCTGTACAAGGTTGTGGGAAAATAGGAACTATCATATGCTGCCAATGGAAGAATAAATCGATACAAGTTCTTTGGAGAGGATTTTGGTAATATATAATAGAATCAGAAAGGTGCATTCAGAAACCCCAGAAAATCCACTTCTATATTTATTTGATAGAGAATTCTTGCATGTGTATACTAGGTAGTATATACAAAGACATTTTTTGCAGCATTGTTTGTGGAAAAAACAGAAATTACGTAATTGTCTTTAAGCAAAGGAATGGCTAAATAAATTTGATATATTCATTCGATAAAATACTTTTTAGCGGTAAATGAACTTCACCCAAGTGTATCAACATGGATGGATCTCAGAAACAATATTGAGTGAAAACATTGCAGAATATGTTCAATGTAATGGCATTTATATAAACATTTAAAACCCTCACAGAGCAGCAGTATATGTTGCTTATAGATATTTGTATGTTTTATGGAAATACCAACTGGGCAGGTTATGCATTAATGATGGTGGTTGTCTTTGGGACGTTAGGGAGGAGAATGAGGCTGGACAGAGCAAAGGGGACTTAAACTTCATCTGTATCGTTCTGTTTTGTTTTAAGGATGAAGTAAAAATAGTCAAGGGGTTGTATTAAGTAATTGCCAAAGTTCTTATGTAGCTCAGAAGTTCTTTGATTTTACATTATAATTATATTCTTTAAAAGGCTTTTTTTGACATGCAGTGTTTAGAGATTTCCCAGGTTGGGTGGTTGTGATGGGTAATCACAACTATCCTTTTTAGAGATCACATAGAGCAGTCAGCTGCTGGTAGAAGGGGAGTATATTGAGATCTGTAATTTATAAAATCACAATTTCACTTTCATGTTAATTTCTCTAAACACCCTTTTCATAAATGGTTCCAGTCTTTCCAGAGAATTTTCTTCATATGGAGGACTGAATGTATTTTTTGTCATTTATTCATTCAACAGATTTTATTGAACACCTAATATGTACCAGATGATAATACAGCAGTGAGCAAAACAGACAAAGCCTGCTCTCATGGAGTTTAAATTCTAGTCAAGGAAGATAGCCGGTAAACAAATTAATAAAAATATAATATGGTTGGTGGTAAGTGCGATGATGAAAAATAACGGAGTGTAAGAGCAATAGCGAGTGATTGGGAGTATTTCATATGGGAGAGTCAGGGAAGAACTGTCTGTAAAGGAAGTGAGGAACACGAGAAGAGTTAGAGGCTGGTGGAAAAAGCCAGCACGAAGACCCTGTTCTTTGAAAACCAGCATAGAGGCCAGTGTGGCTGTAGCTGAGTGGATGAGGAGTAGATTAGTAGGAGGCGAACTCAGAAAGATAGCAGGGGACTGGATAATGCAGAGCTTTGTCGGCCAAGGTAAAGGCTTTGTACCTACATTTTGAAAAAGATCACTCTGGCTGTTTTGTTGAGAACAGCCCATGGCAGGGGTGGGGAGTAAAGATAGCAGCAGAGCTTGATTGTGGTTTAGACCAAGGTGGTGAGAAATGGTTGGATTCTGGATATATTACCTTTTGGCAGCAGTTCTTAATGGATAGAATAAGAATACTGCTATCTTGGCAAACTGCAGGGTTGTCGAGAAAAGAGAAATAGCACACGTTAGCTGCCAACCATAAGCTATACGAGTGACCACAAATGGAGATTAAAACCCCCTGAAAATCTTCTGTCGATTCCGGGAAGGGGGTTTTAGTCCCCTTTACCTAGAGGTGGAGCCCTGGTGGTGAAGTGGTTAAGAGCTATGGCTGCTAACCAAAAGGCTGGCAGTTCAAATCCACCAGCTGCTCCTTGGAAACCCTATGGGGCAGTTCTACTCTATCCTGTAGGGTCACTATGAGTTGGAATTGCCTGGATGGCAATGGGTTTGGTTTTTTCTTTCTTTGTTTTACCTAGCGGTGCCGATTTCTTTTCTTGTTCCTTTTAGTCATTCTGAACTTTGCAGTTGAACTTAATCCAGTTGTAGATTGTTGTTTAAAACATGAAAGTTGGAATCTAGGTTTAGGTGTACAGTTTTGAGGTTAATGATTGTATTAACTGAAATGAGGTGTAAATGTTGACTTTTACTTTCTCTGTAGCTTAGAGGTGTGGCTGTGAAAGGCAGATAACTGCCTTTCCTTTACATTTATTTGTCCCTGGGACCTTTGTGGGAAGATAATTTGGTTTGTAACATCTTCTAAAGATTGTATGTGAACTGTCTCTGGGCATTTTGCATTTCATTGCGTTTGCATGTTCCTGTGGTTGTAACAAAATCCAAATGACTTTCAGTGAAATTATTTTATACTGGTGTCATTTGTGTTGTTTTCACTGTTCACTTATACTTAGAAGTTCATTTAAATCGGTGTAGAATGGCTTTGTGTTAATTATTTTTAAATTGATTTCTCCCCTTTCTGATTTATTACCAAGTAAATTAATATTAATTAGTCTCTATTATTTTGTATGTAGGGTTCCTGTTACAGGAGCGGAGGGTGTGTACATGGGGCAGGGTAGGGGTGAGGGAGGAGAATCTACTTTGTCAAGTCTTTAGAGCTACAAATTATATTCCATCATGATGGCTTTTAAATGTTAAGCAAATCATCATCCAGAGTGGCAAGCTGACAGTAAGAATTATAATGGATTGTAAACTCTGTGCCCTCTTTCTCAGTATAATAAAATACATCAGCACTCACATACTGTTAAAAACTTAATTGTTTATTCAAACCATCTGTTTTAGTGATATTATAGTGTAACAACGGTAGGTTGACTATAGCAGTGAAGTCAGAAAATACTTTGATCATACTTCAGGATTTAATTTTTAGTACAGCAAATGGGAAATAGATGTTTGTTTTGCTTTGTGAAAGATGCAGTTGTAGGGTACAATGCCTAATCTTAATAAAGAGTTTTCCTTATTATTTTTATAGTAGGGAAGAAGGGAAAACTAATTACTATGTGTATTTTAGAATATTTCAAATATATTTCAGTATAACTTTTCATTCTTATTAACTTAACTTTTTTTTTCTTTTAGCAAAACTGTACAATCTAAAGTGGACTGCATTTTGGTAAGTAAAATAACCACTTTTGGAGTTCGTTTGTAATAAGACTTTCACTACTACATAAAACACATTATTCTTAAGTAAATGTTGATTTTAAATATAACGCAATTTTAAGGAAATGGTGATAAGCCATTTCTAAATACTTTCCTATAACTCATCCACAATACAATCGCAATTGGAGATAATCAAATGTTTTTGAAATTTACTGGCCTTTGTTGAAAAGATCACTTAAGCGTTTAATCATAGTAGAGGATTACTTTTCTGTTCTGATAACTCTGTGAGACTTTGTTTAAAGAAAAGTTCTTAGATGTTTGATGAGCTCGTTTTTGTTGCTGTAGCATCCTTTTCCTATCTGGGTCGCTAGCCTTTAGGCAGTAAAGCAACAACAACAGAAGTTTACATTTAGATTGTATCTGTAAAAACTATAAGAACTTGTTTAAAGAAAAGCTTTTAAGATGCTTAATGGGTTAGTTTTTGTTGAAACATACTTTTCATATTTGGCTGGCTAGTATTTAGGAATTAAGGCAACGATAATAGTCTAAATTTAGATTGTAGTTACTTAGGTCTTGTCTTAAACGTGTGAAGGAAGGAGCTTGCAGCTGCTGGGGCTGCTGGAATAGTGCTCATTTCTTTCCTGAAATCTCTGCTGACAGGATAGTCCTTAGGCTCTAGGTTCAGTGGCTCTGTGCTGTTAGATTCCCCAAAGTGTCAGTACAGCTAGTCTTCTTTCCCAACAGTGGCTTTGGAGCTTCTCTTATTCAGGTTTGGGTCTTCCTATTTATAAATCGTCAGGCTGACTTTTTTTAGCATCTGGTGCTAAAATGGTTATGTGATATCTTATTAGCCTCTAGGTGCATGAATAAATAGGAGTAGTTCATAGGAGAAATAACTTGATTAATTCTGTACCTTTTTAGAGGCCCTGGTGGTGCAGTGGTTAAAGCACTGAGCTGCTAACCGAAAGGTCAGCTGTTCGAACCCACCAGCTGCTCTGCAGGAAAAAGATGTAGTCTGCTTCCATAAAGATTCAACCAAAACCAAACCCATTGCTGTCGAGTCAATTCCAACTCATAGCGACCCTGTAGGACAGAGTAGAATTGCCCCATAGGGTTTCCAAGGAACATCTGTTGGATTCGAACTGCTGACGTTTTGGTTAGTAGCTGTAGCTCTTCACCACTACGCCACCAGGGTTACAGCCTTGGAAATCCTATGGGGCAGTTCTCCTCTGTCCTGTGGTGTCGCTATGGGTCAGAATTGATTCGACGTTACACAACAACATACTTTTTAACCCAATAGCTGAGAAAGAGGACATTATGGGGTGTTTTTCTTCTTTTTTCTTTCACTTAGTCCTCCCTCTCTTCCTCCTTTCCTTTTTTGCCTGACAGTAGCCCGTGAAGTAGGTAATCTTGTTCCCCCTTTTTACAGCTGAAGAAATTTGACACTCTTGCATTCAGTTCACACAATTATTGAACACCTTCTGTCTGCCAGTTCTAGACCTATTTGTTTGTTGTTGTTCGGTGCCGTCGAATCGGTTCTGACTCATAGTGACCCTATAGGACAGAGGAGAACTGCCCCATAGGGTTTTCAGGGAGCGGCTGGTGGATTTGAACTGCTGACCTTTTGGTTAGCAGCCGAACTCTTAACAACTATGCCACCAGGTCTCCTCTAGACTTACAAGGAATACAAAATAAAAAAGATACATTCTCTGCCCTCAGGAGACTCAGTTTTTTGTCAGGATATATTCAAGAGTGCTCTGAGGACCTACGAAAGCAGTAATTGGGGTGGAGGGGTTGACATTGTGCTTCCATTCCACCCACTACTCCGCATACCCAGAGCATTTGCTGTCTCAACTCTCAAGAGTCTCATTCTTTGTCTGTCACTCGTTAATTATTGCGTGATGACTATGTGCCAGACCCTCTTCTGGGTGCCAGAGTACAAGTGACGACATACTTCCTAGATAAGGTCACCTGCTATCTTTTTAAGTACCCGAGATGACTTTGGAGGATTACTCATTTTTTTCTTCATTGAGAGCTTGGTATAAATTACAAAATACAGTCATGCATCTCTAAACATCCACGATATGTTCTGTGAAGTAGGACGTTACGTGATTTGGATGTTGTGCAGACACCATATGATATGCCATACAGAGTTCACCTCGAGTTGTAGCTGGTGGATGCTTTCTTCCGTCCAGGGGAAGAGCACATCCTGTGCGTTGGGTGCGTGTCACAGACCCTTCTCTGCGTGAGTCGGTTGACCGAGATCTAGATATTTGGGCAGCTTTATTACCAGAAGGACATAGCCAAGATGATCATGAGCTTGACCGGGTATCACTGCATATGCTGGGTGCAAGGCTCAGAGAAGGGCCCTGCCCCAGAAGCTGGCCCCCAGCAGGCGCCAGACACTGCCCCGGGAGGCTGGCACTCAGCAGGCTCTGGATACTGCGCAGGTCTGAGTTACCAAGCTGTGAAGGTAGTTCCTGCACCCGGGTGGGAGCCATGCAGAGGTTAAAGTGGAAGCCCTGTCCAAACCCTGTTCTTGTACGTCCTGCTTCTACCCACTGGGTTAGGAATGATGGGATGGAGTTTTTTCCTTTCCTGTGTTAAACGTTTGCAAACACAAATTTAAAGAGTTCTAATAAAGAATCAAATTTTTTTAAAAAAATAAATAAATAACGACCATGGACTTACACATGGTTGGATGTTGCCCAAACAGACATTATGTGGTGCACAACTGTATGGCATTTATAAAATACTAAATAAGAACCCCTTGCAGATTTTTTAAACCTTTCAAGAGGTAAGAAATGTTTTTATTTAGGGTAAGATAGGGGTATGTGTGTGTGTATGTATATACACATGTTGTTAGGTGCCGTCGAGTCGATTCCAACTCATGGTGACCCTGTGTACCACAGAATGAAACGCTGCCCAGTCCTGCACCATCCTCGCAATCGTTGTTCTGTTTGAGCCCATTGTTGCAGCCAGTGTGTCAGTCCATCTCGTTGAGGGTCTTGCTCTTTTTCGCTGACCCTGTACTTTACCAAGCATGATGTCCTTCTCCAGGGACTGATCCTTCCCGACAGCGTGTCCAAAGTGTGTAAGATGTAGTCTCGCCATCCTTACTTGTAAGGAGTGTTCTGGTTGTACTTCTTCCAAGGCAGATTTGTTCTCTTTCTTTGGCAGTCCATGGTATACTCAGTATTCTTCGCCAACACCACAATTCAAAGGCATGAATTCTTCTTAGGTCTTCGTTATTCATTGTCCAGCTTTCGCATGCATAGGATGCAATTGAAAATACCATAGCTTGGATCAGGCACACCTTAGTCTTCAGGGTGACATCTTTGCTTTTGAACATTTTAAAGAGATCTTTTTCAGCAGATATGCCAAATGTAATGCATCTTTTGATTTCTTGATTGCTGCTTCCATGCGTGTTGATTGTGGATCCAAGGAAAATGAAATCCTTGACAACTTCAGTATTTTCTCCGTTTATCATGATGTTGCTTATTGATCCAGTTGTGAGGATTTTTGTTTTCTTTATGTTGAAGTGTAATCCACACTGAAGGCTGTGGTCTTTGATCTTCATCAGCAAGTGCTTCAAGTCCTCTTCACTTTCAGCAAGTAAGGTTCTGTCATCTGCATAATGCAAGTTGTTAATGAGTCTTCCTCCAATCCTGATGCCCCATTCTTCTTCATATAGTCTAGCTTCTCGGATTATTTGCTCAGCATACAGATTGAATAGGTGTGGTGAAAGGATACAACCCTGATGCCTACCTTTCCTGACTTTAAACCACCCAGTATCCCTTTGTTCTGTTCGAAGGACTGCCTCTTGATCTATTTACAGGATCCTCATGAGCACAACTAAGTGTTCTGGAATTCCTGTTTTTCACAAGGTTATCCATAATTTGTTATGATCCACACAGTCGAATGCCTTAGCACAGTCAGTAAAACATAGGTAAACATGTTTCTGGTATTCTCTGCTTTCAGCCAGGATCCATCTGACATCAGCAGTGATACCCCTGGTTCCACATCCTCTTCTAAACCTGGCTTGAATTTCTGGCAGTTCCCTGTCGATATACTGCTGCAGCCACTTTTGAATGATTTTCAGCAAAATTTCACTTTCTTGTAATATTAATGATATTGTTTGATAATTTCTGCCATTTGGTTAATCACCTTTCTTGGGAATAGGCATAAATATGGATCTGTTCCAGTTGGTTGGCCAGGTAGCTGTCTTCCACATTTCTTGGCATAGATGAGTGAGCACTTCCAGTGCTGCATCTGTTTGTTGAAACATCTCAATTGATGTTCCGTCAATTCCTGGAGCCTTGTTTTTTGCCAGTGCCTTCCATGCAGCTTGTACCATCGGTTCCTATTCGTATGCTACCTCCTGAAATGGCTGAACGTCACTAATTCATGTTGGTACAATGACTCTTTGTGTTCCTTCCATTTTCTTTTGTTGCTTCCTGTGTCGTTTAATATTTTCCCCATAGAATCCTTCACTATTGAAACTTGAGGCTTGTATTTTGTCTTCAGTTCTTTCAGCTTGAGAAATGCCGAGCACATTCTCCCCTTTTGGTTTTCTATCTCCAGCTCTTTGCATGTGTCATTATAATACTTTACTTTGTCTTCTCCAGCAGCCCTTTGAAATCTTTTGTTCAGTTCTTTTACTTCATCATTTCTTCCTTTTGCTTTAGCTACTTGACGTTCAAGAGCAAGTTTCAGAGTCTCTTCTGACATCTATTTTGGTCTTTTCTTTCTTTCCTGTCTTTTTAATGACCCCCACGTATCTGTCAGTTAGTCGTACTGTGGAGGCTTGTGTGTTGCTGTGATGCTGGAAGCTATGCCACTGGTATTCAGATATTAGCAGGGTCACCCATGGTGGACAGGTTTCAGCTGAGCTTCCAGACTAAGACAGACTAGGAAGAAGGACCCAGCAGTCTGCTTCTGAAAAGAATTAGCCAGTGAAAACCATATGAATAGCAGCGGAACATTGTCTGATACAGTCCCGGAAGATGAGCT